CATACTCTAAATATGGATTATAGATATTTTTTTATTTATTCCACAAATTCTAACTTTTTATTTATAAAAGTATACAAAATTGTTACACTTTTTGAACAATTAATTGTAGGTGTAAAATGAAATTTTAGTATTATGCACAATAGCAAAATTATGAGTATTAATAGGAATATTTTAAACAAATCGACCTCCGGATGTCGCTTTTATTGAAAGTAAATTAGATTTAATAAAACATACCGACGTCATGAGGTCAATATCACATTAAATTTTAAGATAAATAAAAGTAATCATGTTAATTAAATAATATTGACATCGGGAGGTTGGTATTTTATATTAAATTATTTTTTAACTTGTATAAAACCATCATTCAGAGGACAATTTATTTAAAGTTAATTGAAAATATTAATTTATTACATAACACAAAATCGTCCTCCGGAAGACGATTTAAATAAAATTAAACCAAAATAGAAAATAATATCGACATCAAGAGGTCGGTTTTTATTGTAATTCATTTTCTGGGAAAAATTCCGACCTCCTGAGGTCGGAATTTGGTTTTTCTGCAAACCTCAAACCGACCTCCGGATGTCGCTTTTAAAAGTAATTAGATGAAATAAAAATATCGACCTCCGGATGTCGCTTTAATTAATAGTAATTAGATGAAATAAAAATACCGACCTCATGACCTCATGAGGTCGGTACTTTAATTACATACTGTTTAATTTTACCGACATTCGAAAGTCGGTATTGTAAAATATTTAATTGAGAAAAAATTCCGACCTCAGGAGGTCGGAATTTTTAATGAATTACAATAAAAAACTACTTTTTTTAAAAATCTATTTTGGAACTTAATATTTAAATTCAACTTTAAAAAATAAATAACAATATAAAACAAATTTTTTTTAAAAAACATACATTTTGCAACTTACCGTTTAAATAACACTAAAGCATATTTAAGCGATATACAAAATTGTAAAGAAATCTAAACATATCTAATTATCTATTCTTTTTTAACTTTTTTTTTTAAAAAAATAAAAAATAAAAAGAAACTTCAACTATAAATAATTATCCCTAAAATTCCTCACCCACTTACTTAACTTTCTTCCCCAAAAAAACTCAACCGTATTAACTCACTAAATTTAAATACGGTAGTCTTTTCTTTAGTTTTCCAAGAAAAAAAAAATGCATCTCAATAAAGGAAATTCAAAACAATAATAATCCTTACCATTCATGGAAAAGTAATTTTTATTATTTTTATTATTATCTTTTTCTTCTGTTTTATGTGGTTTACATTATCAATAATTATACTTTATTTTGGAAGTTCTAGATGTTGAAGATCATCAATTGATGAAGTTACGATCAAGCCATTTATGTGATGAATATATGTTGTTGTAGAAGGAGAAACACTTTTAAGACTATATTTGATAACTATGTCAAGCATGTAATATTTTAATTTTTTTCATCTTATGTTTTGTTTTAAAATCAAACTGTGTTGATGTATTTACATATAATTTATGATTCTTTGCTTACTGCATATTTCATATTTATAATTCTTTAATCTTATCTTTTTTTAACATGCAGTTAATGATGAAACTATACTGGAAATTTTGAATTGAAAGATTAGAAGTATTTGAATTTGAAGATATTATATTTTCAAAAGAAAAAAAAAATATTAACTTAATTAAAACTAGAAACTCATGTTATAGAATTCTAAATAAACTCTTACTATTTCACAAATTTATCTTTTCATATGTTAATAAATGTATTTAACTATATTTAATTTACATATAAATGAAGATAATAGTACTATCTCTCTATATTAATATAAATGAAAGTTGACATATATCTGCTTGCAATTTATTTATTTATCGGATGATGTTGAAAACGTTAATATGACAACAATTTCAACAACGACTACAATGATAATGACGACGACGTTGATGTAATCGATATTACAACAATGAAGATTAAAGTGGACAACAAAAGAAATATTAAGATGAGGAAGGAGATCAAGAAGAAGAAAAAGAAGATCAAGAAGGAACATACAATGACTGAAATGATAAAAGAAATACAACAAAGTACATCATCATTTTTCATTTTGGAACATTTCAAGATTATACTGGCAATGGTAAAGGAATAAACATTGATAGTTTCATTTCATCACCATAATGTGATGATTTGTATTTATCGGACTATCACACTTCATTCGCTCTTTAAATGTCCAGGTAAATATATCAATGTTATGTTGAAAATTCATAAAGTAAAACATAAATATAAGTGATAATTTGTAAATCGTATAATATATAATTTGCATAAACTTTCTTTTCTTTATAATATGTAAAGAGATAAGATTTATTACCCACAAAAGTTTTATGTGGGTAATATAGATTTTCTTATGTGATTTTTTTTTTTAATTGTTGTTTGTTAGTTTGTATTAAATGTGTAAGATTTGTTTATGAGTTCTAAAAATTACATTTAGTTATGGAGAAACATTTTATTTTGGCAAATTTTAAAAGATCTGAAGAAAGAGGAATATTTACGAAAAATTACATATTTTTGAAACAAATTAAAAAATAAATATATTTCCTTTTAATTTTTAAAACATTAAAAAATTTAAATTCGTTATTTTAAATAATAATCAAGAAATGAACAATTCCATGTAATTCTAATCATATTTTCATCAAATATAGCTAGGATATAAGAATGAAAATTAACTTAAATTAAAATAAAAGCTAAGTAAAGACTTTCACTAGCTATCCATGAATTATGGATCCCATTAATATGAAAATTGGGAGTTTTAATTTTTTTAAAAATACGTTATAATTTTGTGTTTAATTTTTAAAAAAAAATATGTTTTAAATTTGTGTTGCAAATTTAGATAGGTGATAAGTTTGAAAATTAATTTAAGTGAAAAAATGATGAGTAAAGACTTTCACCAACTATCCACAAATTATGGAACCGTACTGTGAAAATTGATAGTTTTAAATTTATTTTATATTCTAAAAATATTAGCAATTTAATTCGTCTTTTTTTTAAAAAAAAAAAAAAAAAGAGTTGTTCCAAGTAGTTATAACTATACTTTCATCAAATTTGGCTAGGAGATGATTTTGAAAATTATTTTCAATTAAAATAAAATACGACATAAAGACTTTCACCAACTAGCCATGAATTATGGAATCCTATTAACTGTGAAAGTTGAGCATTTTAATTTCTTTTTTAAAATAAAAAACTGACAATTAAATCCTAATTTTAAAAATAAAATATTTTAAACAATTTCAAGTTATAATAACCATATCTTCATCAAATTTGTCTAGGAGATAACTGCACACACAATTTGACATAATATCAACTCAAAATAAAGATATTAATGTTGTTATCTTTTTACTTTTTAGTTAATAAAAACAATGACAAATATAATAAAACTAAACATAGAATAAAATATTTAAAACATTAAAAATAATAATCAACCATTTGGATTATTTACAAATATCCAAAAGAAAAAACTATTTTTAAAATTACCTCAACTATTGTTTCTTTTTAATTTATTTAAAATTATTTTTTCTAAAAACTGACAATCTCAACAATATGTCAGTTTTACCTTTATATTCGGTTACTTCTTTTTAAAAAAAAATTACTTTTACTGGGGTTGTATTTATTAAGATTATTTTTACCTTAAATCAATTTTCTATGATATTGTAGCACAAATTTAATACGGAAAAAAATTTGTAAAATCTTTTGATTTTCAATAAAATATATATAGAAAATGTATCAACATACCATCTAATCTTATGATATCAAATATTTCTTATGAAATGTTAGAATTAATAAATTACTAGCATACTTTTTTAATTCAAACAATATGAATAAAGTACAAACAAATAAAAATATTTGAAGTATTTGATATTTGATCAAAGATAAGATGATCATAAAATTAATAGTATCCTTACAAAGAATTTAACCTGATATATTATAAAACTAAAAGCGTAGCTGATATAGTTATAGTTAAAATAAATTGTGTACTAATAATATTAATTCAATGTGCTCAAATAAATAATGATTTGTATTATTATTATAACAAATTAAATATATTATTAAGTGCATAATATATTTTATTAATTATTTTTAATTATAAAATTATTACATTTTAAATCATCCGCGCAACGCGCGTACACGTATACTAGTATTAAATAATAATAGGGATATTTTTAGACCAAATTATTAACTAGGCATAATATATAAACATTATCCTTAACTTGATTTCAACAGACAACTATGCTCTCTAACTTTGAGTATACACAAGTAGACACTTAAACTTTTATAAAATTGAACAAGTAGACACATGTACCCTACATGACATAATACATGTAGGACGCCATGTATGGCACAAAATCACTATGTAGGGTGTTATGTAGGACGAATGTGTCTATTTGTTCAGTTTTATACAAGTTTAACTGCTTACTTGTGCACACCTAAAGTTAAAGGCCATTGTTGCTAGTTGATGTAAAGTTAAAGGTCATGTATAGTGCATTTTTATTCAATTTAGCATAGTTTAAAGACATTTTTGACAATTTTCTCTATATTACCCTTTCTATCAATAGATCATGTATTGGTACAAAGATCCAATGTGAATTACATGGTTCTTTTGTAATGAGAATTTTCTCTTCCCTGTGATGATGCCGAAAAATACGTACTACACTTTAAAAGTTTATTCGCCCTTTTCTTTTTCTTCTTTTTGAAAAAACAAAAAAAGAAAAGAAAAGAAAAGTCATTTTGCCACATGGGTCACAAAATAGCTCATCTGTACACACCCTCGTGGCCAACGGGCCATTCTTCTTTATTTCCTTTATACTTACTTTATATAAATGAATCTTTACCAATTTATACAACAAGAACCATTGTATTTTGTATACAAGCAACCATTTTTCTATTTTATTAATTAATGTACTACTTACTATATACTATCCTTCTTATACATTCTTTACCTTACCACTCTAATGATCACAATAATGAAAGTTCAACTTGAAAAATCGAATAGCTTAGATTCTTCTTCTTCATCCTCGTCCTCCTTTAACCAGGGCAACGTTAACATTAAGATCCTAAAAGAGTACGAATCGAATAAAGTTGAAGAATTCAATAGGGACGACAATGAGAACAAGAAGAGGAAAAAAGTTATTCAGGACGATCATGATGACAAGCATCCAACCTATAGAGGAGTTCGTAAGAGGAATTGGGGAAAATGGGTGTCAGAAATCCGAGAGCCAAGGAAGAAATCAAGAATATGGTTAGGAGCTTATTTGACAGCTGAAATGGCTGCTCGAGCTCATGATGTTGCGGCTTTAGCCATTAAAGGTCACTCGACTTACCTTAATTTCCCTTATTTAACTGATCAGCTCCCACGTCCAACTTCTAATTCCCCTAAGGACATTCAAATCGCGGCTGCAAAAGCCGCTGCCACCACATTCAGGGGAAATAAAGCTGAGTCGAGCCACATCAAGCTGCATAGTTCATCTTCGTCCACAGAGACATTCATAACTTCTCCGTTGACTGATAAAGACGATACTTTTTTCAATTTACCAGATCTTTCCATCAATAAAGTGGATCAAATTGACAGTTATTGTTATCCGATTTCGACTTGGCACCTTGCTGGAGCCGATGTTGGAATCTGGCCCGAGGAGCCATTTTTATGGCAAAGCTAAAAAGGTACAAGTCAATCAGGTGCACTAAGCTTCCGCTAAAATCAAGGATCTTGAAGAGAAACCAAGCTTCAGGAAAATCAAGAAATTTTTTGTACACACAGGCAGGGGCGGACCTAGGTAGAGCCCAGGGGGTTCACCCGAACCCCCTCGTCAAAAAATTACACGGTATATATAACGTCAAATTCTGATTTTATGTGTATATATATTAAAATGAACCCCCTAAGAATAAAGGACAGACTTGGCTCAATGGATAAGTGGTTCATGTAGTGCCCCTATGTCATGGGTTCAAGGCCCAAAGGCAACATTTTTTCCCTTTTTTAATATTAGCTTTGAAAAATGGAACTTTTGGGCTTAAACCTTCTTCTTCTTTTTCATTATTTTTTCCTTTTATTCCATTTCTTCTTTTTAATTTATTTTTATTTAAATTTATTAGACACATTCTTTTTATGTTTATATTTTATTCTTTTTATATCTATTATTCATTTAGTTTTTTTCATATATGTTTGAATAACTTTTTTTTAAAATGATGAATTATATTTAACTTGAAATTGAGATAGAAATATAGTTTATTTTTAAAAAAATGTAAATTAGATGTAATTGAATGAAGAAACTTAAATATCGTCAACGTCCTTTTAAAAATATTAATTTAATAGAATTCACGAAATTTTCTTTTATATTTTTAATTCTATTTTAGTGGGATGAAAACTAAACTTATTTGATTTATTCGTTATTTACTTATTTTTTTACAAATTATGACTAACCTAGTAAATTGAACTATATGAACTAAAAAAATTGACGATGATATTTATTTATATTAATAATATGCATTATAATATTAGTAACTCTATTCTTACACACTTTTACAGAATCTTGACGATTTTCATAGTAATATTTGATTGAATGGATATTAATTTAAAATTTTTAAAAAGTGAAATATAAAGTAAAACATTACAAAATAAAAGTATAAAAAGCACAAGAAATTTTAAGAATGCTCGATGGAGCATGATAAAAGTAAAAAGAAATGTTTAATACGGTATGATAAAGTGAGTTAAATTTAGCATGATAAGGTAAATATTTTTCTTCCCCGTCTCGCTCCCTTTTTCATCATTTAATTTTCATGTGTTTTAGGAATTAACTTATGTAATACAGTCGATCCACTAAAATTCTTATCAATGCAACTTTGTTCTCGATATCTTTGATTAGCATAGTCTTTACTTTTATGAACCAATGAAATATCTATGGTTCTTGTACAAAGAGCATGCCGAGGGGCTACTACGCTCACCGCGCACTTGCATTACCACCTGAACTTTTTCTTTATACTTCGAACCCCCTGAGCAAAAATCCTGGGTCCGCCACTGACACAGGTTCATATTACCGTTAATTTGAGTTTGTTTTAATTCTAATTTTATTCATTTCTTGCTCTCAATTCATTTTTTTTTGTTTGTTGTGGGTAAGAAACACGATATAATATAATAATAGGAAAAAAACCTGATATATTCCTCAACTTTGCCATTTAGAGCTATATACTCTCATTATGAAAGTGATTTATATATACCTCTAGTGTTATACACTCACATATATCCCTACCGTTATAAAATGAGTTCACATATATAGATATACCCTTCATTCAACGAAAGTGAAAAAATAGTTTAAAACAAATTTGACCATCAAAATAATAAATTTAATTTAGTTGTTAAACCAAAAAAAAATGTGTGAGGAGGATTAAATCTATCCATATGAAATTATATATATATTTTAAAATAATTAAAAATAAATTTGAATTAATTTTTTCACTTTCGTTAAAAGAAAAGGGTATATGTGAGCCGTTTATATAACGGTATGGACATATACGCTCCACTTTTATAACAAGAGGCATATCAACTCCAAATGACAAAATTGAGAGGTATATCATACCTTTTCCCTATATTAATTACCTCATTAAAAAGAAAAAAAATAGTCTATTGGTAATTTGGTATAAACCAAACCAAAAGAGAAGAACTTCATAGTTTGTCCGTAAATTTTTATGTGCTTAAGATAAATTGACCGAATGCAGATTTTTTTTCTTTTCTTTTGGGAAGATTTGAGGGTATTTTTATGGAAAAATTAGCTGATTAGTCAAGATTCCTAACTTATTTATTGAAAATAATTATATATTAAAAATATTATTAAAAGAAGACAATATTTTAATCGTATGAAAATTAAGTATATTTTAATCTAATTTTAAAATTATATCAATTGAATCCCACGTTTTCGGAACAAATTAACTATCCATTCTCTCTCTCATCTAATTCCATCATTCCATTCCCTCCATGATTCTTCTAAACCTTCTTTCTCTAAAATATTGCACGATTTTTTTTCTCAAAAATTAGCAAAATCCCATCACTCCTTCCCTCCATGCTTCTTCTGAAACTTCTTTTTCCCGCTTCTCTCTCTAAAATATTGCACGATATTTTCTTCAAAAATTGACAAAATCTTCATAGAGATATACATCACAATTCCACAATCATAGTAGTCATTTAAAAATTATTAAATATAAATTTATAAAATGATTCGAATTATATTAAATTTATGAATATATTAGTCCAAATAAATATTATGGATTAATATAATTGAATTAATTATTTAAATCTAACCATAAAGCCCATATGTCATGCCACTTAAATCTGATTGGTCGAAGAGAATCCTATTCCTATCACAACTCCTCAATTTTAAAACTATAAATAGGGTCCTCATAATTTAGATTAGAGAACCAAGAATTCGAACAACAAGCTAGAGAAAGCTCGTGGATCAAAAGCCGCAATTTCTCTACAAGCTACAAGTTCAAGAATTCGAGAATTCAAGAATTGAAGAATTCAAGTTCAAGATTTGAAGAAGTCAAGATCAAGATAAAGTTCAAGTTCAAGAAAGATCAAGATCAAGACCATCGGATTCAAGATCTAGCTCGCAGCTCTTGAATTCAACTAGAAGTCAAGATCAAGATAAAGTTCAAGTTCAAGAACGATCAAGATCAAGACCGTCGGATTCAAGATCAAGCTCAATTCAACTAGAAGTCAAGATCAAGATCAAGTTCAACAACAATCAAGATCAAGACCACCAGATTCAACATCAAGCTCGAAGTCCTTGAATTCAACTAGAAATCAAGATCAAGATAAAGTTCAAGATCAAGTTCACGAACGATCAAGATCAAGAGCACCAGATTCAAGATCAAGCTCAAAGCTCTTGAATTCAACTAGAAGTCAAGATCAAGATAAAGTTCAAGTCAAGATCAAGATAAATATCAAGATCAAGTTCAAGAAAGATTAAGTTCAAGATCAAGATAAAGTTAAAGTCCAAGTTCATCAAAGATTCAAGAACAAGCTCCACATGCCCTTGAATTATATCCGGAAAGGCAAATTCAGGGTAATCATAGAGATTGTAACACTCGCACTTTGAAATAATAAATATGATTGTTGCGATATTTTTCTGTTCTTGACTATTGTTTTCTCGACGTGAACTTTACTGTCTACTAATTCTGGCACGCCCAGTGGGACAATCTCTACCTATCAACTCAACTTTTCAAGCATAAAAGAATGTCAAAATGACTTGCACTATAGAAGAACGACTAGCAAGCTTGACTAAAGCAATTGAATGCTTGACGAAATGTGCTCACGAACAAGATGCTAAAATTTCCAAGCTAACAAATAAGATGGATAACATGATCGAAAAAAGATCGAGTCAAGCACCTCTGAAGCTTTCTAAAATTTAAGACGAACGAGAGTCTTGCGTAAAGCAAACAAAGATCAAATATATTCATATCTCAGCTGGAGGTTTAATTCCAATCGATCAATTAAAGGACTTTATCATAGAGTCTATTGAAGACAAATCTGAGACTTCATCCGAATTTTCTCCCATATATACAAAGCCATTCACACAAAGGATTGATAATTTGAAAATGTCTGAGGGCTATCAACCTCCTAAGCTTCAACAATTTGATGGCAAAGGAAATCCCAAACAACATATAGCGCACTTTATCGAGACTTGCAATGATGCTGTGACGTATGGTGATTACCTTGTTAAAGAGTTCGTTCGATCTCTTAGAGAAAATGCCTTTGATTGGTACACAGATCTCGAACCTAATTCTATAGATAGTTGGGAGCAGTTAGAGCAAGAGTTCCTTAATCATTTCTATAGCATGAGATGTGTCGTTAGTATGATTGAACTTACAAAGGCTTGTCAAGGTGAAAATGAGCTAGTTGTTGACTTTGTCAATCACTGGAGAAGTCTGAGCTTCAACTGCAAAGATCATCTTAGTGAAACTTCTAGCATTGAAATGTGCATCCAAGGCATGAATTAGGGTCTTTGATACATTTTGCAAGGATTAATGCCCAATACATTTGAAGAGTTGGCAACTCGTGCACATGATATAAAATTAAGAATGACTTTGAGAGAAGATCAACGATCTCCTATCTATGGACCTCATGAAGATGAAGATGTAGAAGAACTCAAAAGTGGGGTAAGTCTGCATCCGAAGATGACTTTGAAGAGTCAATGTATATCTAGACGCTCTTTAACGCATGAGCTTATACTGCAAGTTACAACGCTCCTTAACACATGAGCTTAAACTATAAGTTACAACACTCTTTATTGCATGGGCCTAAACTGTAAGTTACAATGTTTCTCATCGCATGAGCCTAAACTGCAAGCTGAAATGCTCCTAGACGCACGAGCCTAAACTGTATGTCTCAAAGCTCTTCCAGTTTGGGCTAAATCTTCAAGTTGAAATGCTCCTCCAAACACGAGCTTAAACTGTATGTCACAAAGCTCTTCAAGTTTGAGTTAAATCTTCAAATTGAAATGCTCCTTGGGACACGAGCCTAAACTGTATATCATAGAGCTTTTTTAAATTTGAGCTAAATCTTTAAGTTAAAATGCTCCTTGAAATACGAGCTAAAACCGTATGTCATAAAACTCTTCAAATATGAGTTAGATTCAAGCTGAAATGCTCTGAGAGACACGAGCCT